ATTTTCTTTTGCTATTGATGCAGGTCAGATGTAGACGAAGGGGGTGAGACTATCAGCATCAATTACTCAATTGCTGTACTCAATCCTTTTCAGGTAGGTCTCCAATTGATACCCTTTTAGCATTTTCCCTGTCAAGATAATATTGTGTTGTCTTGTAGGTCTCCAATTGGTACACCCTTTTAGCATATCTTTCTTCAACAGTTGTTTCATAGAAGGTCTTATTAGGTAATGGAAACACAAACTTAATGCATTTACATAACAGACGGACCAGTTTTTCAGAAGTTTCATTCCATCGTTTTTCCTTTAAAATGTTTCCTTAAATTTCACTTGATTCCCTGTTGAATACACTTCATTTTCTATCATTTGTGAAAAATTCATGATTTGTGCATACAACAATGTAGAGTTCTGCATTCTGGCTTAATCTGATCAGGACATTGAGATGAGTTCTATGCATGAAATATGTCCAGAAAACTGGTAGATCAATTTCAGTCCCAAAAAATAAAAATAAAAATAAAAACCGTTCAACTATCCTAGATTACAATTTGTGCCCTAGTCTATCAACACTTCTCTCCTGCAAGTATCAGAGCCTTCGTTCATCCTCCACCGCCACGTACGATGACGACATCAAGCTACAGCACCGCTGTGATTTCAAGGTCAGCCTACTCTCTCTGTTTTTCTTTCTCTATCCCCCTCTGTCTTCTGGACTCTCGCTCTCTACCCCTCTCTCTTTCTTCTACTCACTCACATCTCTCTCTCTCACCACTCATCTCCTCTACCACCTTCACCACTACTGCAAACGCCATTTCACTACCACCACTACTACCACGGTCGCCATTTCATCTCTACGACTACCATTACTACTACCATCGCCACCACTTCACTACCACCACTACCACTATTGCCCCTACTACTACTACCTTTACCTCTCTTTCACCCCTGCAACTCCATCTACTCTACTACTACCACAACTTTACCACTAATCTCCTTTGTCACCACCACCACCACCACCATCATCTCTTATCCACCCCCTTCGCCACTACTGCCACCCCCTCTACTCTACCACAAAAAATTAGTTCATGATTTTTAATAAAAAAAAAAAATGGGCCGTAGAAAAATATTTTTCATTGACCACAAAAAATTAACTTTATTTTAACAGAAAATATTTTTTATTAAAATATTACCCCTACTTCTACCAAATAAAAAATAATAATAAATTTTTTTCATTAAAATAAAAATGAAACAAATAAATTTTCAACCTTAGGAACTAAAAAAAATAAAAAATCAAAAGAAAAAATTGCATTAACTACAAAAAAAAAAAATTAACAAAAAAATAAATAAAATCCCATAGTGCGATCAATATAATGTGATCAACATATATTCTCAAAAAGAGTCAAAATCCCCAATTTGTCCAAATTTCCTCAAACTCAAACCCTTTAGCGCCTACGATTTCTTTTTCCCTCTTCTCTCATTTTCACGTTCAAATATCCCTCTCTCTCTCTCTCTCTCCCTCTCTGTGTGTGTGTCTCTCCACATCTCTATCTCCATTTTCATCTCCATCTTCGAGCTACTTATCTCACTCTCATTCCGACTACTCCACGGGCAAGAGCTCGAATCTGCAGAGCATCAATGTCGAAGCACACTATAATATAAGGAACCAGGGATTCTAGAGAGCTCGAATTTGCTGAGCAAGTTGTTGCCCTCTTAAACCCTAACATTGGTATGTATTCTCTTGTCTCTCTCTCTCTCTCACAATTTATTTATTTATATTCTATTTTTTTTTTTATCTTCAAGGCTTGAATCTCATGCTCTAGGTCGACGACCCTATGTGATCTCCAAATTCGCTCTTAATCTCCAAATTCGACTCCCTCAAGTAAAGGCTCCCTCCTTTGTTTCATGGTTTATATATGTGTTTTCTTAATTTACTCTTTGAATTTCTTCTTTTTACCTTCATTTTTGTTCTACATGAAAATTTTTAATTTGAATATTATACAGTTTAAAATCACTATAATACTGAACATATGAATGTAAAAATACTGTATTTTGGTGTCAATCGTCACTGATATAATGCTTGAAGGTAAGTTAATCTACGAATTAAAAATAAATAAATTTGAAAGGGGATTTAGATGTCCCATTGATATGATATTGTTCTATTATTCTTTATAGAGCATGCAAGTACAAAAGTTAGTTTAGAATTGGAATCAACATTTTTAATCAGCGGAACAATAACAGTAGATAGAAATTATGTGATTTGTTGAAATTGCATTAACTTTGTATTTGTGTTTTGTGTGTACTATGTAGTGTAGTAGTAAGAATTGATAAATTCATTTAGATGCCCCATGAAAATGAAATTTACCTTCTGATTTTAAGTATGATAATCAATGCATAATTCTGCTTTGTAGATTGAAGTTCTCATTGTAATACCTGTATATAAACCTAAATTGACCTTCTAGTAACTAGTTTTGAGCTAAACAAAGCAGCACAGTTATACTGTTGTCAATACTTGGTGATGACAAGTACATGGAATGCTTCAATTTACAGTAGCTCTGTCCTATGCCTTCGTAAATTTTTTTTTTTTTTTTTAATCGAGGCAAGATGTGTTTGAATTTCATGGCACATTATTTTTCACATAATTTGATTAATCCATGAAAGCCTTGCCCCAAATCCCTTATTAGATCATGAAGCTAATGTATTTTTATTTCTTTTCAAATTGGAGTATTGTATTGTTTGATTGAGCAAACCAAATAGGATGTGCTGTGAATTGAACATTTGGGTTCATGCCTTGTCTTTCAGGAGGTAATGATGCTTCTCACTCAGCTGAAGCTACAACCCGCAGAGGATCAAGTAGTTTTGCTCGCCATGACGTTGATATGCATTCTAGATCAGGAATGGCACGCAATTTGGATGCTGATAATCCCATTAAGAAACAAGTAAGCCATACTTTGTAGAGTAGATTGTAGTTCTTTTACTTCTATTCCATTTTCTCTTTATACATTTGGGAAATCTTGTAGATTAACTTACCTTCAAGCATTATATCATCTCTTGATGTAGCCTTCAAAGACGATCATCATAGATCTGTTAGTGACCACATACCTGAAAATCGTGTTTCAACTGATATTGCACCTCCAAAGGTACCTTTTCTTTTGAGATTTAGTTCTTCAAAATTTTCTTTTATTGCTTGCATCATAAATTCTGAAGCAACTCCCATTTATAGGACCAGCTATAATCCATTGGTTTTTCTTTGTTTTCTTCCATGAGATATACTTATTTGCAACCAAAATATAATATGCGAATTAGAAATACTCTCAAAAGTTGATGCCAAAATTCAATTGATCTATGAATAGATTTGTTGAATCTCTAAATTATATTTTTGTTACAATCTCATAACATAAATTCAACATAACAACGCTGAAGTTTGGGGATGAATGCATTTTTAGGAAATTCAAAGTAAATGAAGTTTGGCTCACTCGATGAAAATCAAAGTAAAATTATTAGTTGCGAAATTCTAAAATTATTACTCCCCCAAATGAGTTTACAGAGAAAATTATAACGGGACTTGAATCGGGTTTCGGTTTGGGAGTTAGAGCCGGATTTCACTCTAGACAAACTAGTTTCTTAAGAAACTTAGAATTCGAGGTGCACCCCAAAATACCAAACGGTGTTGGAGTAGCACGAAATTTTGAGGTTTGTGAAACACCTTTTTCACCTTTTATGCTTTCTTAACACATGCAAGTCGGACGGGAAGTGGTGTTTCCAGTGGCGGACGGGTGAGTAACGCGTAAGAACCTGCCCTTGGGAGGGGAACAACAGCTGGAAACGGCTGCTAATACCCCGTAGGCTGAGGAGCAAAAGGAGGAATCCGCCCGAGGAGGGGCTCGCGTCTGATTAGCTAGTTGGTGAGGCAATAGCTTACCAAGGCGATGATCAGTAGCTGGTCCGAGAGGATGATCAGCCACACTGGGACTGAGACACGGCCTAGACTCCTACGGGAGGCAGCAGTGGGGAATTTTCCACAATGGGCGAAAGCCTGACGGAGCAATGCCGCGTAGAGGTAGAAGGCCCACGGGTCGTGAACTTATTTTCCCGGAGAAGAAGCAACATTTACACTGATTTTTAATTTTTTTTGTATGTAACTTGTGTGCTTGACATATATGAATCAGTTTTGACCATATAGTGTCCATAACACTCTACAAAGAGTGATTTCTTGATTAATGGATGTTTTGTAGTATATTATTGAACTATTGTCATGTCTGATAATTTCAATTTCCGGTTTTGCCTTCTCTTGTTTGGCCTTCAGTTTGATTAATTAATTTCAATATTCAGATGTTTTCTAATTTTCTGTTAGGAAATTTTCTTAATAACTTAAATCATAGTTTTCGTTGCTTCTCTGCTCATGTGCCACATAGTTATTTTGGTCAGCTTCACCTTGGTCTATTTGTTGGTTACCCCACACTATGGTCTACAACTACAAGGAGTCCAACGTTTGTTATTTTCCTCTTCAATGTTTACTAAAGTTGATGTAGCTGTATTGCATATTCACAAAAAAATCCTTTACTCACTAGTGAAGTGTACAAGGAGTAAGGCATATTCACAAAAAAATCCTTTACTCTAAAAATGAAAACTCTACATGGCTTTCTTTGGAAGAATATACGAGTATACCATCTATAAAGGAAGTTGATGATTTGTTGGTTGTGTGTGTTGGTCAAATGGCTGTTACAGTTGGCAATGACCTTCTTTAGAAGCCCCTGAACCATGAGGTGAATTTAGAATTTTTTCAGACTTGACCACATTACATGTTGTCAATGCTCTTAGCTGTGGACCTCAGCTTTAGGTGTTTAAAACTTAAATAATGAGCTGTTCTTATAAAATACAAAGCAAAAACTTGTTTTGCAATCTCAAACAACAAAAGAACTCGTTTTTATAGCAACTCAAATAACAAAAGAACTTGTTTTAACGGTCTTCTTCTTCTTCTTCTTCTTCTTATTATTATTATTATTCTTTCATCTATATGATAGTATTATTATTATTATTATTATTATTATTATTATTATTATTATTTCATGCATAGGGTAATTTGTTATTAGTTGCTTTCTTACTAGAGAATAACAATGCAATTGTAGGATTATGCCATGGAGTTAGATGAGACACGCATACGTAATGCAGCACACTTGATGGTTGCCAGTTTGGCTGGAAGTTTAGCTCATGTAACATGCAAGGTTTCATCTCAAACTGGAGATCTCTTTTGTTGTTCTATTGTCCTGTTTTGTTATCTGAAAATATAGCATTCCTATCTGATTAGAATCTTATGTTTGTCTGCCTTTGTTACCTGGTGTTTGACAATAATTGTGTGATTACTGATAGGAACCCTTATGTGGCTCAATATCAAGTCAGCTTAGGAATTCACTTCAGGGTTTAAATATTGCAAGTGAACTTGAACAAGCTGTGCAACTTGTTACTAATGATAACCTTGATCTGGGTTGTGCATTGATTGAACAAGCTGCAACAGAAAATGTTAGATTGCTTTCTATTTTCTTCCACAAGAATGCATTTATGCATATATTTATTTATCTATCCGTTAATGCATATGTTCACTTTCAGTGCTTTTGATTCACATTATGCTAAATTGATAATGCATGCAATAACAGGTAACAGTTTTCACTTCTAATATTTGGAAAAGCTGTTTTAGAAGTTGTATAAAAAATCGAAGAATACTTTGTTGTTGGATAAGGTTCTGAAATGGCCCTACATGTTTCTTCCTCAAATGAAGCTTGCTACACAAGCAAAAATATGGCTTAACAAGTGTGGATTGAGAGGAAGAGTTGATCAATGATCCCTAGAAACTTAGAATTCGAGGTGTTAATGCCCAAAAATCACCAAACAGCATCGGAGTTGCACGAAACTTGGCACACACGACCGTCTAGGCACAAGAGACTTGTGGGAGAAAACGGGACTCAAATCGGGCTCCCGGTTTGGGAGATAGAGCCAGATTTCATGCTAGGCAAACTAGTTCCTTAAAAAACTTAGAATACGAGGTGTTGATGCCCCAAAATCACCAAACGACGTTGGAGTAGCACGAAACTTGGCACACACGACCGCTGAGGCACGAGAGACTTGTGGAAGAAGTTGGGACTCGAATCGGGTTCCTGGTTTGGGAGTTAGAGCCGGATTTCACGCTAGGCAAACTAGTTCTTTAAGAAACTTAGAATTCGAGGTGTTGACGTCTTAAAATTACCAAACGGTGTCGGATTAGCACGAAACCTGGCACACGACCACCTAGGCACGAGAGACTTGTGGGAGAAGACGTGACTCGAATTGGGTTCCTGGTTTGGGAGTTAGAGCCGGATTTCACTCTAGGCAAATTAATTCTTTAAGAAACTTAGAATTCGAGATATTGACGCTCCAAAATCACTAAACGGTGTCGGATTAGCACGAAACTTGGCACACACGACCGCCTAGGCACGAGAGACTTGTGGGAGAAGACGAGACTCGAATCGGGTTCCTAGTTTGGGAGTTAGAGCTAGATTTCATTCTAGAAAAACTAGTTTTAAGGACCCAAGGGTAAGAAGAAGCAAGGGGAGATAATGGCTAATGTTGTCAACTTTTTGAGGACCAAAGGATTCATTGGACACTTTGGAAGTGGAGGAGACTCATCCACAAGTGGACATACTTCTTGGTAAAATTTATTAACTTTAATATAACAAATTTTATAAAAGAATATATGTTTGAAGAATTAGAAAGTAATAGAAACATGCATAGGACATCTAATTTGTACAGGTGCACGGGATGTATAAATTGTGAATTAGTCTAAAAAATATTTCTTTTTCTCTATACTTAAAGCTTCAAAAAAGGCCGTCGAAAGGCTAAATTATCATACAACCACAAATTTGTACAGGAACCAATAGAAACACCTTAGGAGGTACCAATATAAGTTGTATGAACTTACGGCACATTAATGGGATGCACCATTTGTGAATTAGCCTTAAAATTAATTTTTTGTTCTCATAATCTCGAAAAAAAAGTTTGTTAGAGGGATAAATTATATAATTGATCTAATTGTAAATTGATGAGTTACTAATGTTTTTAATCTTTTGTATAATTAATTAATTACTAAATCTTTTAATTTATTTTTTTGCAGATTGGATTGGGGTGGCATTTTTTACGTGCAACAATGATGTAATTTGCTTGAATGTTCATTTTGTTTGATAAGGATACACATACTTTGTGGAGTTGCACTAGTTATTGTTGGATGTTTGGTGGAATTGTACAAGTTGTAACTTTTGGATATTTTGTGGATATTGCACTATTTTATTGTATTAGGATGAAATTATTTGTAATGATGAATGGATATTTTCATTTTGTTAATTTGTAAATGTGTTGATGACAGGTTAGGTTAAGTTGTGAATGGAATTGTTATATTCAACAGGTTTCAACATGAACGGGGTTACATTTGTTGAACTAAAATTCAGATTTTGATAAAATAGGTATATAATGTGGAAAAAAATATTATGGAATTAGTGACAAAATTTTTCATCCCTAAAGAAGATTTTTTCGTCTCTTATTTGGCTTAGGTGGAAGATTAATTTTGTCATAAATTCTTTATTTTGTCGTTAAATGAATTTGTCATGACGAAAAATATTGTCACATTTTGTCACTATTACCCTCAATGTGTGATGATTTTTTTTTGACATTATTTAATCATTTTTAATGATGAATTTGTTTTTGTCTCTATTGGTAGTTTCTTTGACAAAATTTTTTCGTCTTCGTTTATATTAAACGTGACAAAATTATTTCATCTCTATTTCTTATATTTATGACAAAATACTTTCGTCTCTAATTTTTTTCTTTAATGACAAAATATTTTGTCACTAATTACTTACAGATATGTTCCCAACAGAGTGTATTGGAGACAAAAAAATTCGTCACAAATTTATCATTTTTAATGATGAATTTGTTTTTGTCTCTATTGGTAGCTTCTTCGATAAAAAATTTTCGTCTTCGTTTATATTAAACGGGACAAAATTATTTGGTCTCTATTTCTTATATTTATGACAAAATACTTTTGTCTCTAATTTCTTCCTTTAATGACAAAATATTTTGTCGCTAATTACTTACAAGTATATTCTCAACAGAGTGTATTAGAGATAAAGAAATTCGTCACAAATTTATCATTTTCAATGACGAATTTGTTTTTTCGTCTCTAAGACCCTTTAGCGACGACGCTTTGGCGACAAAATGGGTGACGAAAAATTTTCGTCGTAATTAGTTTGAGTGACGAAATATATACATTTTGGGACAAATTTGTTTAGTCTTTAAATCCCAAATTTGTTGTAGTGGGTCACCGACCAAAAGTGGGGCCATCGGCCGGACTTTGGTAGCCGGCCGGCACTAAAGAGGACCAATCGGCCATCTGTTCCTACAGAACTCTGTTTTTGCTGCAACAGAGGACAGACAGTGCATGACAAGGAATTTACAAGACATGTATGCGCGACCACCCTCCCTATCATGCTATGAACTCAAGGGGGTTTGGTTCTCGACCCTCGGGCCACCAATCACGCAGCTCGATGCATGATGGCCAAAGGTGCAATTTGATATCAATATGAAATGTCACAAAAACACATAAGGGCCCAATCCTCTATCATGAATTGATTCAAGAGCAAGGGATGCACACACAATGTTATGCAACCTAAGCATGTAAGCAAACTAATGCAACATGAGCATGCAAGCAACAATGCTATACAAGGCAACTAGCATATAACAATATGCAATGACAAGCATGCAAACAAGCATGTAACTTAACAAGTATGCAAGATGGATGAACATGCAACAACATGTCAATAGGCTAACATTTAATAACATGCAAAGGCAAGTATACTTAGACCAATGTAATACATGCATGATGAACTTAACAAAGCAACACAAGCATGCAATAGGCAATAGGCAATAGGCATACAACCTAAACATGTGAACATGTATAGCATGCAACAACATGCAAAATGAAACAAGCATGCAACAACATGGTGAGATGGACTTACACTAATATGGGTAGCTCTCAAGCATGCCAAAATTAGTGGCCAAACATGATGGAAATGAGGCAACAAAACACATGCAAACATGCAAGGTGCAAGGGCTCTAACTCATAGCATAAGATGCAACTCTCCTAGTGCATTGAAAAGATGAAGTATGGCATATGATGGCATATATTCTAGCTCTGAAATGACATACAAAATGATTCCGAATCATGCAAACGACTCACATAATGCATGTAGGAAGGCTCACATACCGAAACTAGTGAAGCACATTACACTAGAGGTATGCAAAGCGATGCTTGAATGACCAAACCAACCCCAAACAGTCCCTATGCAGGCCCAAAATAGTGGCAAAATGGACTAAGACGATGCCTTGAAGTGCACAAAAATGAAACTCATGCAATGGCTCACAAATGGGGTATAAAAGCACAACTCTCAAACACATTAAAGACATGATAAAAGTGAGAATATGGCACACCTATAAACTCTGAAATATCATATTCAATGATGCCAAAACACTAAAATGCCTCAAGCAACACATGCAAGGGACCCCAAAACTCAAAGGTAAGCAAGGCTATTACACTACAACCATGCATGGCAAGCACCAATCGACCAAGAGGCCTAAAAAAAGAGCTAAGGCAGCCCAAAATATGAACAAAACATGTTTGGAGTGTGGCTAAAAGGTGCTAGAATAAAGGGCCAAAACAACATGTAATGTGAGCTAGTAAGCATGATTTACACTACAAGCCTATGAAGCATGTGAGGGGCCACCAAACCAGCTAAAAACAGAATCATGGCATGCCAAAATATGACCAAAAATCCACTGAAACATGGTCAATACATGCAAGAATGACATGCTCCTTTGATAAGCTATGAATGGGATTACTCTACACATGTAAGAGACAAACAAAAGGAGACCAAACCAGCCCTGGACAGAGGCTAGGAAGGTCCCAAAAGTCACCAAAAAGTGCCTAAAATAGGCCTCCAAATGATATAAACATATGCTCATTTGATAGGCCAAATATGCTAGTAAACAAGACAACAAAGGAGAGGGAATGGCCCTCTCCTTCTTAGGACTTCAAAATACCATCCCCACCACTAAAATCCAAAGGTGGTCCTGATGCTCACAAAAAAGGCACAAAAATGAGGCCAAACAAGGCCTAAAAGGAGGTAAACAACCCCAAACACAAAAGTAATCTTAAACAAATTTCAAAAGAATGCAAAAATAGAACTTTTATCAGTTATAAGTTAAGCTCAAAACAGCATGCAAGATAGGCTAAAAGTGTGTGCAAAAATGAGGAATAAAGAGCGTAGTTCTCACCCTTGATGCACAGCTACAAAACCAGCAGGTTCTTGGACCAAGAACCAACTCTTTAACCTCTGAAAATGACCTCCAAGAACCTTAGATGAATGGTGGAGGTGTGTGGCTATGAGGTGTGGTGTAATAGGCCAAGAACTAGACCCTTTTGAACCCAAAATATAGAGATATAAAGAGAGATATATCTTGGAGCCTTAAACAAATTTTTGGAACCTCTCTAAAGGAGAGGGAGGCCCTCTCTTATAGAGAAACAAGAGGGTTCAAGCTTCTTAGATAAGCTAAAGAGGTTCAAGCTTCTTGGAGAAGCTAAAGAGGTTCAAGCTTCTTGGAGAAGCTAAAGAGATTCAAGCTTCTTCAAGAAGCTAAAAAGGTTCAAGCTTCTTCAAGAAGCTAAAAAGGTTCAAGTTTCATGAAGAAACTAAAGAGGTTCAAGCTTCTTGGAGAAGCTAAAGAGGTTCAAGCTTCTTCAAGAAGCTGAAGAGGTTCAAGCTTCTTAGAGAAGCTAAAGAGGTTCAAGCTTCTTCGAGGAGCTAAAAAGGTTCAAGCTTCATGGAAAAGCTAAAAAGGTTCAAAAGGTTCAAGCTTCCTCAAGAAGCTAAAACAAGGGTTCAAAAGGTTCAAGCTTCCTCAAGAAGCTTAAAACAAGGGTGCAAATCCTCCATACACGTGTATGGAGAGCAGGGTCTGTGCTTACCAGCTGGCACAGCTGGTATGCATAATGCCTGAAAAAGGCAAACAAAAGGTCTCGGCCAGAAAAAGTGGCCGATTGACCAAAATAATGGTCCGCCGACCAAAAACAATGGTTCGCCGACCAAAAACAATGCCGACCGGCCAATACCTTTGGCCGGTAGTAAGAAAACAGGGCCGATGGCCTCAAGCCATGGCCGGTGAGGTGTGGGGATGGCCAACAAGCCATTCCCTACCCTTAGAAGCAAAACACAAGTGTTTGGTCCATGACCAAGCACAAAACAGATAAGTTGAGAGATCTTGAGGCGAGGCGCGTAGCCGAGACCTCCGAGAACTCAAAACCAACATGATCATGGATGATCATCGAGTTTTCAAACGATGACGTCCAAGTCTTGAGGACGGTCAAAAATGGGGTGTCTACAGATGTCTGTATAGTAAGATGGAGAATGCAAGAGGAAGTGGAGAAAGTGAATCTTCAGAGGCTCGCATGGGCTGAATGGAACAGATGTTAGCAACATTGACTGAAACCTTGACACAACAGCAAAGGCAACAACCTTTACCCCCACCGCCTCCACCGGCACAAGCTGAGGCAGATAATAATGACATCATCAGCTTGACACAGAAATTGATGAAAATGAAACCGCCAACGTTCTATGGTGGAATTGAACCTTTGAAAGCTGAGACGTGGTTGCTTAAAATGGAGAAACTGTATGAGGTGTTTCCTTGTTCTGAAACCCAGATAATCCTCCTAGCCACCTATACTCTGAAAGATGAAGCCCGCAGGTGGTGGTTACTGATTCGAAGTGGCAATGGAAATATGACATGGGCACAGTTTATTGCTATCTTCTACGACAAGTATTTTCCCCAATGTTTCAGGGATCGGAAAGTGTCTGAATTTCAGGAACTCAAACAGGGAAGAATGTCTGTGGCAGAATATAAAGCTAAATTCACCAAATTGACACAGTTTGCTCCACATATGGTAGATACCGATTACAAGAAAGCACGAAAGTTTGAAGGTGGACTGGATTTAGAGGTATTTGATCGAGTAGGCGTCCTGAAATTGCCTACTTATGTGGAAGTTCTAGACAGAGCCTTAATGGCAGAGGCCACCCTAGCCGCCATGAAACAAAGCAAAGCCCCAGCAACTACAGCAACTGAGTGGAGAGGAAAAAGATCCGGGTTTGGTTTTAAAAGAGGCCGGTCCTTTGTCAGTAAGAAACAAAACACAGGGTCTACAAGCAGCTCGAGTCAGA